GAAATCTGGTTCACGCGAACACAGAATATATGTTTTTAGACTGCATCAAGGAGCCAGTTTGGTGTAGTGGTTAAGTGCGTGGACTCTAATCTGGGAGAACCGGGTTTGATTCCCCACTCCTCCACTTGCACCTGCTGGATGACCTTGGGTAAACCATAGTTCTGGCACAGCTGTTCTTGAAAAAAAAGAGCAGTTTCTGTCAGAGCTCTCTCAGCCTCACCTACCTCACAGGATGTCTGTTGTGGGGAGGGGAAGGGAAAGGAGTTTGTAAGCCGGTCTGAGACTCCTTTGGGTAGTGAAGGGCGGGGTATAAATCCAATCTCTTCTTCTTCTTCTTCATTTGAGGTTGCCGGCACTGTTCCCTCTAAGCTGAGTTAGTGTGAGCTAGCTCAGAGTTTTTTAGCCTCTGGCTCACATATTTTTGTCTTCGCTCAGGAAGGATGGCTCCAGAGCAAGCTAATCTATGCAGCAGCCAAATCGCTTGCTCACCACTTTAATGCCAGTAGCTCACAAAGCAGAATTTTTGCTCACAGGACTCCACAGCTTAGAGGGAACATTGCCAGTATAGGAACACATGGCATTATGTTTTAATTTGGGAGAGGAAAAAGCGGCATAAAATAGTACCTCTCGTACATCAATAAATGCCTTTATTACACCATTGCCTTACTATTTATGTACAATACATAAAAATAGCTAACAATATACATTCTTTAAATTTTATCAAATGTCTTTTGTTCTGATCGACCCATTCAATATATACCAAGATAAGCACTTTTTTTTTTTTTGGTAGCCTCTTCAGGGAACTTTTATTTTTATACGGAGAACCATTCAAGCATGTAATCCTGGAACAATACGGATCACCACACGGTTGAAAGGCCTTCCACACAAACACACACAAAAATACTCGCATATCGGAAACAAGACATCAGAAAGAAATATTTACATGGAAGTTTTCTACACACAGGAAGGTTGTTTTCCCCTGGTTTCCTTTTTGATTGTTTTGTGTTTTGTTTCTGAAGAAGGCGCATTCAGTGACAATAACCCACTGAGAGATCATCCTGACCTTTTAACCCTAATTCCTTTAATGCATTTTGAAACTCTCTGTGCCCCTCCCAAAGGAAGACCATGGGGCACCAACCCTGCAAGGTAGGTGAGGCAAACAGACGGACCCAGGCCCAAGCTCGCTCAGGGATCAACACGGCCCAACACAGACTAGAACAATCCAGGTATCTACAAGCCTAAGTTTTTTTCCCTTATACAACACCGGCCTCGTCCAGGAACCATGCCAACCCAAATCAGATGGTCTTTCAGACAGGAAGGCCAATGTGCTCAGGACTCTTTAAAAAAAAAAAAATGGGGCTCATATATGCCTCCGTGAACAATCTGACCATTAAGAAGTCAACTGAGAATTAACACAACATGGACCTCTGGTATGCCTCAAAGCGAGGATTAAAGCTGGATCAAGAAAATTCAGACGTTTCCCTCCGGTGTTCCAGACTCTGTGAAACCAAACATGCTTCTAAATTACCTACTGCTGAGATGTGACTATAAGGGGGGAGGGGATGGAAATTTCACTGCAGATTCCTCTGGGACATTACGGGAAACAAAGACGCTCCTCGTCTTGCTTCCCTGTATCTCAGGGAGAGTACCTTCCCCTCGAGCAAACTCCCCGGAATGGGAGGTGTGCTGTAGAGACCATGCTCCAAAAGCTGTCCGGGGAGCGGGTACAGGTGACCGCAACTAAAAGCAGGGCCTCTGATGGAAGTGTCTCCCCCCCCAAGCTTTCAAATGACCTCCCCTTCCAGAGATCTGCTTGGCAACCCCCTTCAGGCAACCCCAAGGATTGGTTAAGCCTCATCTCTTCCAGTTGGCCCTTTGGCGACGAGATCAGTCTGTATCACTGCCAATGTTCCCTCTAAGCTGTGGAGTCTGGTGAGCAAAAATTCTACTTTGTGAGCTACCGGCATTAAAGTTGTGAGCGAACAATTTGGCTACTGCATAAATTAGATTGCTCTGGAGCCATCCTTCCTGAGCTAAGGCAAAAATGTGTGAGCCGGAGGCTAGGAAACTGTGAGCTAGCTCACACTAACTCAGCTTAGAGGGAACACTGATCACTGCCATGGGTTCCCCTTGGTGGTCCAGTAATCTAACTCTATACACTGATCTGCTGTTTTAAGGTTTCAGAAAATGGAAGCTCGGTGTTTTCAGGAAAGTTAATTAAGGCCCCTGCCACACGGGGGGAAATTGATGTGGCCAAAGTGCGGCTTTTTAAAGCCGCACCAAAAGAGACATGCGGCGGCGGGATCAGACTGATCCCGTGAGCCGCCGCACAGTTGCTTCCCGGCACAATCAGATGCCGGGGGGGGGAAGACATGGAAGGGAGCGCGAGGCAGCCGGCTGCGCATGTGTGCGCATGCACAGTTCGGCTGGGAGCCTCGAATGCTCCTGAAGACGGGCGCTCCTGCGATCCGACGGCTGCACTTGCTGCGGCGTTTCAGGTAAGTCCTTCTCTTTACTAGGTTCTTTTTTGCTCCACGTTACTGGGCTGAAGGGACGGATCGGGGACGGGTGTGCACCGCTTCCCAGATGTTGCGGTTTGATCGCGCCCGTTTGCTGCGCCCCCGATCCGTCCCTCTTCCGGGCCTAAGCCTCCCGTGTGACTGGGGCCTAACTCGTTCTTTGGTGCGTTTTTTTGCATTCATTAAGGAGATTAACCTTTATGACTTCTTTCTTGCCCTTGCAGAGCTGCCAGCTTCCGGTTGGGAAATCCCTGGTGATTTGGGGGTGGAGCTTCCGGCTGGGAAATCCCTGGTGATCTGGGGGAGGAGCTTCCGGCTGGGAAATCCCTGGTGATCTGGGGGTGGAGCTTCCGGTTGGGAAATCCCTGGTCATTTGGGGGTGGAGCTTGGGGGAGGGGATGGACCCCAGTGGGGTATAATACCATAGAGTTCACCTTCCTGTGCAGGCATTTTCTCTGATCTCTGTAGCCTAGAGATCATTTGTCATTCCAGGAGCTCTCCAGGACCCAACAGGAGATTGGCAACTCCAGTTTACCAGTTTGGAACTCTGGTATAAAGCCATATAAAAGCATGTTAAATACGTGAGAAACAATGATAAAGAGCTGCTACTGCAGTGTGCCAATGAGGAAGTGGCTGGCCAAAAATGCTCAAGCACGCCTGCCTCTGACCTTCCTCGGATGCTAGTTCTTCTTACAGCTGCCCTGCCCCAATCATGCCAACCGTCAAAGCAAATTATGAAGCGCTGCGTTCCGATCCTCCCATGTTTTCAGGAAAGCCGCGGAATGAATAAACAGCGATGCCCAAGAGAGGAACTGCGTGCCATGGATTGTGTCCTACACAGAAGGATTTCAGTTCTTTTTTAAGCAAGGAAAGTGAGCATAACAAAACCCACCTATTACTGCTGCCAACCCGACAGCCTCTCTCTGTAATTTACAGAATGTGGATTTCCCTTAAAAAAAAAATGACCTTGAACAGCAATTTGGGGTTATAAGAGAAGATCCCTGGAATGTTACTGAATAATTAAGATTTATTCTAAGCAGTCTGAAACCACACAGGACTGGTTCGCACACTCACTCGACCAGCCAGCCGGCCAATCTTCTTCCCATGGGGAATGAACAGCCACTTGCGTTTTCCTACACTACACCATATGAATATAATTAATGGGAAATTGTTTGCAAGATCTCCAACCTCTTCTTTTGAGAGGAAACAACAACACAAACGGGGCTTCCACACAGATCACACAATCCTCACCCATCCCACGACCTCAGAAAGAGGCTGGTTCCAAACAACAGACATGGGGTTACAGCGGTACCTCAAAGCTTCAATCTGTACTTAAATCAAGTCCAAATGATTTTGGAACAAACATTGATCAAAATTCTAGAATGTTCACCGTTTCATTTAAGAATGTTCACCGTTTGGCACAAAGACACCCTTCTCTCATCCGTAAAGCCCCCTCCACCTAAACGCCCATAATTCAAGATGGGTAGCTGTGTTAGTCTGTCTGTAGAAGGAGCTGCAGTAGCTCAAGATGCTGAACTGCAGGCTGTGGAAGGTCGGTAGTTCAGCAGTTCGAGACCTGAGTGTGCTGCATGACGGAGTGAGCTCCCGTCTCTAGTTCCAGCTCCTGCCAACCTAGCAGTTCGAAAGCAAGAAATTGCAAGTAGATAAATAGGTATCGCTTCGGTGGGAAGGTAACAGTGTTCTGTGCGCCTTGGCATTTAGTCATGCAGGCCACATGACCACAGAAGCGTCTTCGGACAGCGCTGGCTCTTCGGCTTGGAAACGGAGATGAGCACCGCAACCCTAGAGTCGGACTCGACTGGCTTTTGAGCAAGGGAACCTTTACCTTTACCTAGCAGGAGAAAAGCGCAAGAGTCCAGGAGCACCTTAAAGACTCACAAAATCTGTGGCAGGGGAGGAGCTTTCATGAGCCACTGCTTTTTTGTAGCAGTGACTCATGAAAGCTCATACCATCTTTAAAGGGCTACTGGACTCTTGCTCTTTTCTACTGTCCATACCTCGGGTATGTATGACAGCCATTTCAGGTACAATTCTTCCCTGCATGAAAAGCTGAAAACTGTTGGGACAACTCCCCCCCTCCTACTCCTTCTCTTTTAAAGGGGGGTCTAGCAGCAGGAAAAATTTGAAGGAGGGCGTAAAATGTTGTTATTTGATTGGCCAGCTAGCATCTTTGTGCATTATTTGTGGATGTCTTTTGCATTTAATACATCAGCAACTCACAAAGACAGCCCTGTGGACTGAAAATATCTTTGACACGAGAGCACGGAAAAAGCCAGTTATTTAACGAGAGGACTGATTATGCTGTTCCATCCCAACATTCCACACAAAGAAGTATGAAAAGGAGTCACCCACAGATATTCCATTTCTCATTTTAGAAGATTTATGCCAAGCAGGGTGGTCTTCAACTGTTGGGGGGGAAGGAAAGGACATTTCATTCATGCATTATTAAAAATAACTCACCCTGCTGTGGCAGATTCCGGTTGGAGACCTCTGTTTTCCCGTGGAATCCAGGGCTCATCCCGAGACCTCCCACGTCTATTTCGTGGCTGGCAAATCCATTCAGTTGACCTGTGTGTCTGTTGACAGCATTGATGCGGGTGGGGATCGGCTCAAACGTTGGGTCCAGCTCCAAAATCAACCTGTTCAGCTGCTCAATCGACTGGTCGATATCCAGAGTGGGGGAGGAGGGCAAGGACCCCAAGCCGTTTCCTGCGTTCAACTGCAGGTCGATGTCATTTGTGACCTTCTCGGGGTCCAATCTTGGCTTTAGAACTTCCGGGCTAGGGGATTCTGCCGTCTCGTTGGAAGGAGGCACGCTTCCCAGCCCTCTCTGTACAGCATCTCTGCTGCTGCAGCCCCGGGCGGGAGTCTCCGGAACTCTGGCTTGGCTCTGCGGGTTGCCCGATTTCTCCACCGAATTGTGAAGACCGAGTCTGACCTCGCTGTCTGGGGAGTAGGCATACTGATGAGCGATTACCATCTGCTGCTGGCGCACCCACGTCTGGGTCGAATAGCTACTGGGGCTGTAGGCCGGAGGCTGAGCAGAGACCGGAGGATTCCTTGGCAGCTGCTGAGACGGCTTCGGCTCGGCGTTTCCGAAGGACCTCTCATACATGGGGTCTACGCTGATTCCCAGATCCGGAGCCACGGCACTGTGGTGCTCTTCCCCGGCATTGCTTCCAAACCCGTCCGACAGAAGGGAATTCTGGCTGCTCTTGTGGCAGCTGAAGTTCCCGAGGTGGTTGGAATGCTGCCCTTCGGAAGAAGACAACGTCCCGATGCTGTCCACGCTGTGGAGGTCATGGCTGGGCAGCTCGTCGTCGAGAATGTCTGTCTCCCTGTCCCTGTGCTTGGCGTCTCCATTCACATGGACTTGGGCCGGCACTATGTGGCGAGTCCCACTGTACTTGCTTGGGGCATCGGTCATATCCTTGAGGGGACTGACCGGGTCCTCCAGGCCAAAGCCACTAAGCAATTGGTCCAACTCCTCCTTCTCTTGGGGGCTCAGGAGTCTCTTGGTTCCCGGAGAGGGGCGTTCTTCAGTTTTGTCTGTCCTTATGGAGGCAGTGGAGTGACCCGAGTCACTGCTGACCGACAGAGTGTGGTCGCCGTGGTCAGGGCTACTGGTCACGGCACCCGCGGCTCCACCGGGAATGCTGGTATCTGAGGAACTCTTCTTCCTCACTTTTGCGTAGAGGCTTCCATCAATGGGGCCCTGGGTATGCAGAACTGTAAGACGAGAAGAAGAAGAAAACAAAGACCGTGTTAAAAAAAAAAACAGCACAGGAAACCGAAACAGGAAACCTCCTCAGGAAACAATCCATATACAAAAGAACCTCCTCAGGAAAGCTCCTCCATTAGCATGTTTCACAGCCTGGGGAACTCCTACAGGATAATGACTCAGCCCTACCCCACCTTCCTGAGTAGATATAAATTACCTGCCTACCATTTTTCTTCTTCTCACACCTTGACACAGAGAGTACTCCGTCTTTCTGTGCTATACCTCTGAGGATGCCCAGTCACAGCTGCTGGCGAAACGTCAGGCCCTACAATGCCAAGACCACGGCCACACAACACGGAAAATCGACAGCAACTAATGAACTCTGGCCTTGAAAGCCTTCGACAACATATTAGCACAGAAAAGACGTTTTTTAAAAAAAAACTGAACACATTAATAGTACCTAAGAACTTTGCAACGGTTACTCATGCCAACCTTGGGGATGAAGTAACATTCACTCATCTTAAAAACAGGCACATTAAATGACCAAAATCTGACCGGGGTGCCATTTTCTTACTTCCATGGTTACTTCAGTAACTCAACCATCATTTTATTTGTGTGTGGGGGGTGTATTTTTGCATTTTCTGTGTGTGTGTGTGTGTGTGTGTGTGTGTCTGTGTGTGTTGTATGCGCTCGTGTGTACCTGTTCCTGGAAGTCGTGGTGACCCCTGGCGACTCCTACTGGGGCACGGAAGACATTCAGAGAAGTGGTTTGATAGCCTGCCTCTGGCCTCCCAACCCTGGTATTCTCTGGAGGTCTCCCATCCAAATACTTGCCAGGGTCGGCCCTGCTTAGCTTCCGAGATCAGACGAGATCGGGCTTGCCTGGGCTATCCAGGTCAGGGCAACCATCACTTTACCGATAGATTCAGGGGGCGTAGCCATGTTGGTTTGAAGCAGCGGAACAAAGTCTGAGTGCTGGGGACTGAATCTGGGCCCTCCTGCACACAAGCTGATGCTCAAACACTGAGCCAGATGCTCGCCCTTTGCCAGGCAACGTTTTGTTTGCATCGACCGCACGGGTCGGCCTTGGCCACGATGCACAGCTTGGGAGCACCGCCCCCTCCTCCCAACACACCCAAACAAGACTACAACCCTTTCCTCAGCCAAGTTAAACAAACAAGGGTCAGTCTTCGTACTTTGTAACGGCTCAGGTTTAACCGAAGGCCTCATTAACATGTATACTTTTTTCTTTATTATGTCTATAGGCCGCACTCCCAGTTCAACGCTCCCTGTAAGCTGTGGAGTCTCGTGAGCAAAAATTCTACTTTGTGAGCTACTGGCATTAAAAGTTGTGAGCGGGCAATTTGGCTACTGCGTAAATCAGTTTGCTCTGGAGCCCTCCTTATTGAGCTGCGGCAAGAATGTGTGAGCTGGAGGCTAAAAAACGGTGAGTTGGCTCACACTGACTCAGCTCAGAGGGAACATTGGGCGGAGATTGGGCCGGCGAAGCACGGCGGCGGGACAACGCGGCAGGCCGGAGCCAATTGGGACAGAGGCCGGCTGCGGTAGCATGCGCCATTGTGCGCTGTGGGTCCATACCCGGAAGGAGTCGCTGCGACCAAAAGGAAGACCTGCGCCAAAAAACGCCGTCGCCCGGATTGAAGAACCTCCGTAAGAAACAACAACAACTAAGACCTTGCCAGAGAGGTGCATAGGATTATAGTGCAGGTATTGAACGTTCAGATAGCTTTGGATCACGAAATCTTTCTGCCAAATGTATTACCGGACAATTTAAAGAAAAGTGACAAATATCTCCTTCTACATCTGGTAACAGCGGCAAGGATGACGATGGCTAAGCATTGGAAGAAAGAAGAACTTCCACATAAACAGGACTTTATAACAAAAGCTTTGGAAGTGGCTGAGCTGGACAGTTTAACTCAAAAACTTCGTGACAGAGAAGATGGCGCCTCTCTAAACACTTGGGTGAAATTCTATAACTGGATCGATAAGAAGAACATTCTAGTTTAGAAACTTCTGTAAAGAATTGGAGGGAAAAAAGGTTGTAAAGCTGTAATGATCCGCTTTTTTGTTTTTTGCTTTTGTTTGTTTGTTTGTTTGTTTTGATGGATTAATTAAAAATATGGTAGGGGAAAAAAAACAAACTAAGACCTTGCCATTGGTGCCTGATAGGTAGTCCCTTCCCCTCATTGTGTGTGTGGCCCTAGTAAGGTAATGTCATTAATAATTGTACAATGTAAACCGCTCAGAGCCCTTAGGGGGTGAGCGGTCTATAAATTGAAAGTTAAATAAAATAAAAATAAATAAAATAACATTGCCCAGCCCAAATGGAGTCACTGCCAGCTATACAGTCATCTGTCCCTCATCCCCCCCCCCCCCCCCCCCTTTTTAAAAATACGGTTTAGCTTCAGGATTCATGGCTCACTGAAAAGGAGGTCTGTATTAATCAGAAATTCCTGAGGAACTTTGTTTGCTTAGCAATACTCTGAACCTTCGCTTGGTCATGAGGAACGAAGCACCTCAGTGTCTGGAACCAGCCAAGCCTTTCCTCAAGAGACAGTGGTGCAAAAATTAACACAGAGAGCTGATTGAGCTATTGGGAGCGGATCTCACTCGCTAACACACTCGCGGCACCACAGAGAGTCGGAAGGGGGAAAGGAAAGGTAACACAAAATTCCTGATCGTGTCAAGGCTCTATTCAGGGATGGGGTGGGAAATATACAAGTTCTTCAGTCATCATGAAGAACATAAGAACATAAGAGACGCCAATGTTGGATCCGGCCAAAGGCCCATCTAGTCCAACACTCTGTCACACAGTGGCCAAAAATACCAGGTGCCATCAGGAGGTCCACCAGTGGGGCCAGGACATTAGAAGCCCTCCCACTGTTGGCCCCCCCCCCAAGCACCAAGAAGACAGAGCATCACTTGCCCCAGAGTCCCTATCTATACCTTGTGGCTAATAGCCACTGATGGACCTCTGCTCCATATGCTTATCTAATTCCCTCTTGAAGCCGTCCATGCTTGTACCCGCCACCACCTCCTGTGGCAGTGAATTCCATGTGTGAATCACTCTTCACACATGTGTGAAGGAGAGCCGCTTGAGGACGAGAAGAGGGTCTTGCTTTGTCCTACCACAGTACAAATGCTCGATACATTAAATGAGAATTTGTTGCCCATTCATTGCACCCCATGTCTGTCATCGAAGGGACGTGCCGGACATGACGAACGGCGCTCTCTGTGGGTTTCTTTTTCTTCAAAATGGAAGACAAGACCAGGGGGGGTGCACCCAATTCGGAGCAGAATCAAGGTGTGAGGGAGCGGGCCCCTCCCCCACCACACACACACATGATGCCATTCTCACAACCTGTAATGGCCCAGTTTGCTCTGTTGGGGGCAAAGATACAGAAACTGGAGGGGGGAGTTAAAACTCCCTTTCCTTGTGCCACAGTCCCCCCAAAAAACAAAAGGAACAGACATCCCATCCATGGACTTTCCGTCACAAATCTGGTTGGGCTATTTTGGATTGTATTACTCTAAGAATCATCACTCTGTGGTTTGCTTGACTGTATGATGTGCATTACTTTCTTTCGAAGTGCTGTATGCGCCCACCAGGAGGGTTGGCAACCCGTTGCTTATGCTGCCCAATAGCATTCATCTTCTGGAGAAAGCAAGGAGGTTGACCAACCCCAATGAAGGAAGCCATCACTGTCCAGCCTGTGGTACATCCCCACCAACGCTCCTGTAAGCTGTGGAGTCTTGTGCGAGCAAAAATTCTACTTTGCGAGCGACTGGCATTAAAGTTGTGAGCGAGTGATTTGGCTACTGCATCAATTACTTTGCTCTGGAGCCCTCCTTCCCGAGCTAAGACAAAAACGTGTGAGCCAGAGGCTAAAAAACTGTGAGCTAGCTCACACTAACTCAGCTTAGAGGGAACACTGATCCCAACACAGCAGGTTCCACGACTGAATCGCTCTGCACTAGTGTCCAAGTGAGCCATGCCTTGATGCATCTCCCGAGTCTCTCTTGATCAAAAGGAGGGAGAATATTCCCGGTCGATTTGTTTACTATGGTAACCATAGCTGCATGTAAATATTATGCCGCCTCAAGGAAGAACAAAGCACCCGCTACAGGGTAACTATTTTCTTTGGGTTACATATTTAAAATCCTGTGTCATCTTGAAGGATGCCAACGCTGCCAGCTTGCTTCGGTTTTGTACGGAGACCTAAGGAATGCAGGGCTCGATAGAGGCAGACTGCACTGAGGTAACGTTAGCAGCAGGCGGGCATCCCGGGGCGAGTTGAAGCTGTTAAGAAAACCCCGAGTCAATTTTGAGACGGAAGTTGGGTCGATGAGCAGGTGAGGAAATCTTAGGATGAAGACACCAAAGTGGGGAAAGGACTCAGAGCGGGGGTGAGGGAATAAGACATGGGTGGCCCAGGCCAGCCCAACGTTGTCAGAACTTGGAGGCTAAGCAGGGTGGACCCTGGCGAGGTAGCACTTGGACAGGAGACCCCCAAGGAAGTCCAGGGCCGCTGCACAGAGGCAGGAAAGGGCAAACCACCTTTGAATGTCTCTCGCCTCGAAAACCCGGTGGGGTCTCTATAAGTCAGCTGTGACTTGAGGGTGATTCAATCACCCAGTAAGACATGAACTTACATAGGATAAGAGGTGAAAAATAACCACCAGAAGTGGGTTAGAAAGACAGATATCTAAAGGACTGCCTCTCCCCATATGTGCCCCAGAGAGCCTTGCGCTCTGCGGAGAACCATCTGCTGGTTACTCCTGGCCTGAAGGATGTTCGCCTAGCCTGGTGGAACATGCTCCCGACTCTGATCAGGGCCTTGCGGGACCTATTACAGTTCCACAGGGCCTGCAAAATGGAGCTGTTCCGCCAGGCCTTTGGGTTGAGGCAGCGGGTGTCGATCATCGGCCCTTCCTGTTTGGTGTAGCGCCAGTTTGGTGTCGTGGTTGAGTGCGCGGACTCTAATCT